AACAATCAAAATCCAACCTTTATTTTATCATTTATATTATCTCCCAAATCTTTGACTTAATCAAGTCAAAGTTCATATGATGAACTTGCATAAATCTTGATAATCTCTTGAATCTAATGATCATTTCAAGTCATAAACACTAAAAAGCACTCATTTTATACACTTAAGATCAAACCCATATGAAACCCTAACTCTATCTCAACATGCAATCCATAAAACAAGAATGTCAACCAAGAACAAGTGCAAAAATAAATTATACCTTACTTGATGATCAAATCCTTCCAAGATCTTGTAGTTCCTCTTTGATTTGAGTTGAATCAAGCCTATGTGTGTGAAAATCGCACCTCTAATGTGTGTGTGTGAGTTATGGACTTAAATGACAAGAAAAATGGGCCAAAACTCCAATTTATAATGCTAAAACTCGAGTTGGGCCGGGTTGGCCYGGCTAGGTACCCATTTTGACCATCAACACTTAAATTATTCATAACTTTTTGCTTGGACCTCCGTTTTCTATGAGGTTTTCGCCTACACGTTCCTAAAGAGATAATCTATAACATCGAAGAAAATATTTCAGAAAAGGTCTCCCAAAAAATCCGTTTTACGTATCTTTTCGACGTAAAATTTTCCAAATCCTCTAATATATTCTTAAAAAATATAATTCTAAAATTTCAAACCTAAAATCCTACTAAATCATAAGTTCTCTTTAACTTAATAATTAAATATACTTAGCAAATAATTGAGCATATAAAAAAATTGAATGTTACATTATTCGTACGTCGTTTGTTATTGATTTTGAATGATAATGTGTTTTCCCTTGTACACATCTTATAATAATAGAGCACCATAACGTAACATCAAATTAAGTTAAACGTAACAGACTTCCATACATTGATTGTTGTGCTCAAATATTACTACTTGCGTTTTCGAAACAAAAGAACATATAAATTATGATTTATTTTAGTTTATTTTAGATAAATAATTGTTGGTACAAAAAAGTCATAAAATAAGAAAGAAAAATGAACCAAAAGAAAGTAGTAAAACTAAAAAGGATGAAAAAGAATACAAAAAGACATCAATAGCTGAGTGGTAAGGATTTGTTTATGTACGTTTGTGATTTGGAGTTTGATTCATGTTATCACCACTTTAAGAATATTTTTGTTAGTAATAATATCACTAAGTCTGAGTTGATGCCCTTTGACTTTGATTTCTAGGCTGCCCATCTTTTTAGGAGACGTTTGGTTCGTCGGATTCCGACGAAATATGATGGAATTGGAATGGTCAATTCCGTTGGCCAAATCCCATTCTGATGTTTGGTCACCTATGGAATGGAATTGAATTTCAAACATTCCATTAAATTTGGATTTGACCATTCCTTCAAAATAGAGATGGAATTGAAATCCATTCCACCCTTTGTTGAAACCACATCGATCTGTAACTAACGTTTGCCTTTGTCTATGATGAAACCACATGAAGAAACAACTTCTTCTTCGATCTATGTGCGTCTGTCTATAATGAAACCACATTGATCTGCAACTAACATTTTTCTCTTTCTCGATTCTGGGTTTGTTTCTCGATCTGTTTTTCTCACAGATTTTTGATTTATGGATTTGTTTTTCTCTTGATGGAACCGTTGATGGAACCACATCAGATGTTCATGAGTAGAGGGGAAGGAGAAGAAAAAAGAGGCCAATGTTCATTGTGCTACGACGAGGAAGAAGATGGTGTTGCGATAGGAAAGAACAAGGAAAAAGGGAGGAAGTGGGGGGTTACTTCTAGGGCAAAAAATGGGAAGGGGATAAAGAAGAAATAGGGCAATTGGTTCAAATCCAAAGAAAAATAAAAATCCTTTTGTGGCCACGGAGGTTCAAATGCGATGACTCCGGGCTATCTGCAAAGCAGGTGGTCGCCCTGGGATTAGTCGGCTCGCATAGCGGGTTGAATATCCAGGTTAATAAAAAAAAAGTTTTCTTAATTTTTTTATTATAATTTAGTTCCAAAGTTAAAAACCAACTTATGGAAACAATGGGTAATTTACATTTTTTTTCCGATTAAACGTTAATTTTATTATTATTTATACTTAAAAAATGTATTAAAGAAGAGGGTATTTTTGTCAATTTTCATTATTCTATTCCAATTCCTTTGTAAACCAAACAGACAGATTCCAAATCATTTGACAGATTACATTCAATTTCCTGCCAACCAAACACTTGGTCAAACATGATAACCTATTCCAATTCCTTTCAGATTCTAATTCCATTGACATATTCCATTCATTTAGAATTCATTCTGCGAATCAAACGCCCCCTTAGGGTTTGTCCTACACCAAATATGTCTCAATATCTTATTATACTATTTTATATAATTTATGTTTATATAGCCATATACAATTGTGTATCCTCATAATTTTTTTAGGAACTTGTTGAAATAAAACATCAATATAGTTTTTATGATATTATTTAATAAACTATTTTATAGAATCACCGTAGGAGTCACTATAGACCTTGGATGGTTGAATTTGATGATTGTGTGACCCATAATAATTTGATTCTAGCAAAGGAGCATATCTTAGTTTATTGGAGAACTTGAACTATAGACCGTGTGCGGTTGAACTCGATGAACAATGTTCCATAATAGAAGTTCTAAAGCATAGACTCGTGCCCTACTTTTGTATTCCACCACAATCAAAGGTAACCAAGTTTCCTCCGTCTCGTAAGATGTGTTTTTGACCTTATGATCCTAATATGAAATATTTGAACTTTGGGATTCGTTCAAGCTTATAAAATATGATTGGACTTGCACTATTTATAACTGTTTGAACTTACTAGACGTCAAGTCTAACATTTTTTCTTAAATAACATCTATATCAGGATATCTTAGCGGTGGGACTCTGAAGGCTTGATCGAAGTGACTGGATGATGGTAGAGGCACTTTTTGGGATTTATGGCTATTGTCAGTTGGCGTTATATTTTGTCAGGATTCTTTTGATGAAGATAGTGACGCTTGTTAATAACCTTAACTTAAAATAGTTTAGATTAGTAGAATATTATTTATCCTCTATTCTTTTTGGTTGCATACACTTCACAATTTCCTCATTCCTGGATGATTTTATTTATATAAGTATTGATTTTGTACAGATTTTCCGATTTAAATTTTCTTCTATTTTAGGATACATTAGGATACAAGTAAGCACATTAAGGCCATTGCTTCTAAGTGTTAAGCCTGTAGTTATTCTTGTAGATATTGTAATGGGAGTGTATGTCCTCATGAATTCCCTCTAACCTTGTATTCATCTTATTGTCTCAACTTTTATATATATGATTACAACAATCTTCGATTCCAAAGCTTTGGCTGAAATTCTTCGGTTTTGCTCTTTTTTTCACAATAAGGATACTCATCAAAGTATCAACGGTCTAAGAATCAAGAATATATCCTTATCACAACCTTTCCTACAAAGATTTTTCAACACTTCATTCCATCATGACTCTATCATTATGCATTCATATTTATGTTTTTCTTAAGCTTTTTGTATATGGATGTGTTTTAAATTCAGTTATGAAGACTATACATCCATAATAGAACCAACTCGTTTGTAATTTAATTACTTGGGGGGGGGGGGTTCAAATGAGATTGAGTAATTAAATTTAGGGAAATCCTGCCATTCGATCCATTGTTATTCTTCAAATCGATTTGCCTAAAATCTGGCGTGAAAATGAGGGGTTCTTTCATATGATTAAGTTAATCAAATAGGAACTCTCACAACTATGTAATGTGTATTTTTGGGTCTTTAAAACAAAGCAAACACCAAATTGGATGCATTCTAAACCATTAGAGCCCATGGTTTTCAAAGAAAAGAATGAAAATGAGATCAAGATTCACAAGAAATGTGATTGTGTTATGAGGACTGTTTCTGCCCTCATACTTGGCACTGGGTTAGGAGCTTTAGAAAGCTTTATCGGTATGTTTACGTGGATGATATTTGCAAATAAACGATCGATTACCCCCTAGGAAACCTGAGGTCGATGATAATGCATCAGCAAACGAGAAACAATAGGTAAGTGTTTTGCTAGTTGATTAGATGTTATTTCTTGTGAATTGTAAATGGATTTTGGTTTGTGGTTGATCCTCTGTAATTATGTTGTTATTGTGTTACTATATTTCGTTGATGAAAGTTGCCTAAATCTAGTGTTTGTTTGTTTCTATTTAGTAGTTACGATTATGAACAAGATTTGAGATTTGTTTAGCTTTTATTGCAAAGTAATTGTTTTATTACATTATATTTACCAAAAAAAACTATATTTCATTTAAAATTAAATCACACAGAGGGTTAAAGTGGTAATTTTTGTTGTCATTCAGGCTGTCCATTCAGAATAGTTACTAAACAACCATATTTCATTCTGCACTATATCATACATAGCTTTTTAATCATTCCGAGCACTTAACCATTCTGTATCAAACTATTAGACTACTATCAAATAGCCCATAAGAATCAAAATTCTTGTGTTGAAAAGTTCAACATTCGCTAGACTTACGTACTTTATTCTCAATATACGTCAAGATTTCTCGTATGTCTTGAACGACTCTTTACAAAGATAATATACATACGGGCTTCTATATATTTGTTGTCGACTACAGTTGGATACTTTTTTCTTTAGAATCCTTTCTCTAATGGCTCTTTCAAGAAAGTAATTTAGGGCACTACAATCGCCTAAATTCAGGGTATTTCTAATGCCAATACAGTATATATTGACCAAGGAGATGAAATGGAGTCTTGGATAGGGCATATACCCACACACTCGCCCGCACGTAGCACTACGTACCTTTACATGCCTTCTCTTTTATATAATGGAAAAAAAGGTTAACAACACAAAACAAGTGTCTAGATTACTCCTTATCACCGTCAGCATCCATTCTCTCTCTCTCTCTCTCTCTCTCTCTCTTTATAAAAGCTAAGGGTCATCAAGCTAACCATTCTCCCCCCTTCCTTGTTCTTCATCACCACCATGACTGACCCTTCATACTCCTCAAATCTATACTCACAGTGGTTCAGGATTGATCAATTCTCCAATAGTTGTCCAACAAATCTTCCTCATCATGTTCAGACTAGTATTCACTATCAATACCCTCGAAGTTACTACTACAACAATTTTCAATCTTCTTCATATTCAAACACTAGAACTACAAACAGTTTCAACATCCATCCATCCAGTTCGGTCATTAATCAACATCCAACCGCTCCTCCTTCGCCTCCTCTCAGAGAAGCCCTCCCTCTCTTGAGCTTGAGCCCATCAAGAAAACATGAAGATTATTATCATCATCAACAACAACCCTCTTGCAGTACTACTACTCATCAAGATATGGATGTGGAGGGCGATGATGTTGAGGAGGAAGATGATGAAACAGCTGTGACTGTCGCACTGCACATAGGGCTTCCAAACGCTAGTGCTGCTGATCTTGCATCTTTGATCTCAAATTCATCAAATTCTTCTTCTACTACTACTACTACTACTACTGAGATAATGGTTCCTAGTAACATCAATAATAAGAGTAAAGATGGAGATGGAGATGAAGGTTGTCTTGGGTATAGCCCTATCAGCAGACTCAACAAGGGTCAGTACTGGATACCAACACCCTCTCAGATTCTAATTGGCCCTACTCAGTTCTCCTGTCCTGTTTGCTTCAAGACCTTCAATAGATACAACAACATGCAGGTTGGGTACCTAATAGTTCATATCAAAACCCCCTTTTGTGTTCCCTTTTTTCTTAATTAATTGATTCAAGTGTCCTCATATTCTTATTGCTTCTTTATCGTTTTCTTTAATTCCATTTCTTGAGCAGTTGATTCAACTACATGGTTAGGCTTAACTTTCTTCTGACCTCGTTTTGTTTTTCACGTAACGGCAACTATCTGAATCTTTTTTTAAAGTACTTCCAGTTCGTACCAGCATCCATTAAGATCAAAACGATCAGAGATCAATCGATAAAGCTTGATCATTGTGATTGTAAAAGACTGCCCACATGGGCATGTTAACTTGTTTCTTTTTGCCTGGAATGGAGTCTTAAAATACCCTTGATCTCTTTTTTTATTTTCATTTGTTTGTGAGTTCAAAATGTCAAGGGCAAAAGACTGGTATTGGAGTGTATGATCTTTGCTTCAAATAATTTATTAATCTGCATGGATTGCGGATTTTGGGATCTGAATCTGATTGAACCAAACTGAGGCTTAGGAACAGTTGTACCCTACAAATTCATTTGATTTAACTACACAGGCAATGTTTCCTGCTTTTTAGTATACCTGGAAATCTGTGCTCTTTGAATAGTGCGCAAGTGAACATTTTTACATTGTTTTAACCTTACCTTCCAAGATTTTCATCTCTCTCTCTCTCCTCTCTCTCTCTCTTCTTTGCATCTTTTCTAGATGATATTACGACAAAGCTTTCATCAATTAACCAAGATGACAACCGTTTGAATACCAAAATAAGAAGAATTTTCAAGTGTTTAGTGTGTTAACCTCTGTATATGTGTGTTGCAGTAGTCACTAGTGTGAAGAGAAGCTTGAAGCATGTATATTTCTAATAGAGAGGAACTGGGATCTATGATCCATATATATTAGTTTTAGTAACTGTGCGTGTTCTCAATTAATGAATCATGTTTGTTTAATTAGATATATACTGCAAATTGTAGATGCATATGTGGGGGCATGGATCTCAGTACAGGAAAGGTCCAGAATCTCTAAGGGGCACTCAACCAACTGGCATGCTAAAGCTACCATGCTATTGTTGTGCACCAGGATGTCGCAACAATATCGATCACCCACGGTCAAGGCCACTCAAAGATTTTAGAACCCTCCAAACACATTACAAGAGAAAACATGGTATCAAGCCTTTCATGTGTCGAAAATGTGGGAAGGCGTTCGCAGTTAGGGGCGATTGGAGAACACATGAGAAGAACTGTGGGAAGCTTTGGTACTGCATTTGTGGTTCAGATTTTAAGCACAAAAGATCACTCAAAGACCACATTAAAGCCTTTGGGCATGGACATGCAGCTTACGGCATCAACGGATTTGAGGAAGACGACGAGCCTGCATCTGAGATCGAGCAAGATGATGATGGTAATTCATGATCTTAGGTAAGGCGCAATCCAGCTGTTAATCCTCTTATTTTCCTAGGAAAAATTGTAGGATCCCTTGTAATTAATTCTTAATATTCAATCAAAACTATGCTTAAATACCTTGGGAAATCCATTTTGATGCAACCTCATCCATTTTCACTGATTTTTTCCTTTCGGGGTTATGATTTATTCGATTGAATGACTTCTACAACGATTATACGGTTAAATTGCAAATAGATCAATAGTAAACTTTTCCGAGGTCAGTTTCTAATGGTTCATTTTCGCAACAGAATTAAAATCGAGTATATATGATCGGTTAGAATTGCTCATTATTACAGCTTATGCACATTCGAACCAGTGACCTCTGAAAAGGCTCAAAATTTATCGTCAGTTGAGCTCACTACACAGGTTCAAGCGGTTATCGTTCTTTAGGAACGGAACGGAGAAATCACATCCCATCTAGGGTATAACTTTTTCCCTTTGCTCTTTAAGTGGATACTTCAAATAAATCTTTTAAGCTATTATGAATAAGTTCTAACTAATTCAGCAAACTGAACTGAAAAATCGGCCTTAGTTACTATACCTAGAAAACAGAAGCAAGAAAATCTGTGGGCAAAGACAATATGGAAACATAGCCCCAGAAAGTATGGAAAAGCTGGGGAGAGCTCAGAAATGGTGTCTGGTATTTATAAATCTGAATGGATTACATTCATCATGATATTGATAGATGTTTAATATCACTATTTACTTTATAGGGTTAATTAAATTGTGTTTTTATTTGATGGAGAATTAGGGTTTTATGATTTTCGGTTTTTCCTTTTAATTATCTATCTAAATTAGAGGTGTACAAAGACCGAAAAACCCGTTCAATCTAACCCAACTTAACACTATCTTATATCTGATCAAGTTGTCAAATATTTAACTGTAAGTATATTTTAGGTTGAAATTCAGTTATGATTATTTGAACATAATACAATCCGATGAACACTATATATACCCTTATATTATTTGGATTTAACATGATCGTTAAATCCGTTATTAATATGTACATTAGATCGTTAGACCTATAAACCATCATCTCTTCGTACATATAGTATTTTCTTATTGCTTATAGCTCTTGTATTTGTTTTCGTATATATGTTCAATAAATGTGATCATTTTTATGCAAATCTAGAAAATAAGTTGAACGTGATTAAATTTGGGAGTATGGATATAAGCGAGTAACAAACTTATAAGAATATTTTGATTTATTAAAATTTTAACCCGACTAACTCAATCTATTTCACAGAGTTTGGATTGGTTTAATCTGGTTGAGATTTTTCAAACCGCAAATATTATGTTTGGTTTGTTCAAATACCTCCAACCAATCAAGCCTAACCCATGTTCATCGATCCCTAATCTCAATATAACGATAGATTAGATTATCAGAAACTAAAGTTTTGTGATGAAATTTGTCTGTAAGAGGATGATAAATTAGCATCAAATTGGTGAAAAAGCTACGAATTTATGATAAAAGTGATAAAAAATTAAGCCTAAAATAAAGTACTTTTGACGTCTCGGTTATTGTACAATTACTAAAATAAAGCGTTTTAATAGACTGTTTTATAGAACTTAAGGAGTAAAAAATAAAGCGTCTTATATAAAGGCATTATAAGACGCTTTTGAACGTCTTAACAAGTTTTTTAGGACATTTTTGATATTAACAATTTTATAGGACATTTTTTAGTAAGTGTTCTATAAACTTATCTTTTTATAGGATACTTGTTTTTGTATGACATCTTTTTCAAATAGTGTCTTACGAAATTTCTAATACAACGCTTTGTATTAAAATTGTCCTAAAAACTTGTTAAAACGCTTAAAAACGTCTTATAAACTTATTATAATGTCTTTAGATTAGAACACTTTATCTTTTGGTCCAATAAATTAACTCTTATAAAATGATCTATAAAAAACGCTTAATTTTTTTTGGCTCCTATAAACTCGACTTTCTTGTATTGAGCATAATTTAAAAAAAATATAAATACAATTTAAAACATTTGTTGGTCTTTTACGTAGCTTTATTCGGAGGTTTTAGTTGTTTTCGTTAGAACATCTTTAATCCAACACTAAAAACACAAAGATGAAAGTGTTTTCCTCTTCAAACTAATAATAAACCCCTAAAAGTAATGGAGGTTCAAAATGTTGGTTATATATTTGTAGGTCAATAAAGTAAGCCTCTAAAAATATATATTAATATTTTATTCAACTTTTTTAATTATTTGTATAGATTAAGAGTATAATTAGGGCTGTAAACGAATCGAACGAACACGAACGGAGGCTTGTTCATGTTCGTTCGTTTAACTTAACCGAACAAATGAACGAACACGAACGGTAAACGAACGAAAATCTTTGTGTTCGTGTTCGTTCGTTTAGAAATAAGGTATGTTCGTGTTCGTTTATGTTTGTTCGTTAACATGCTAAACGAACGTAAACGAACGAACATAAACGAACGGGCTAAACGAACATAAACGAACAGGTTAAATAAACATAAATAAATATTATTTGAATTCAAAGTAAATAAATAAAAGATTATATATTAAATTTAATATATAAACGAACGAATATAAACGAACGTAAACGAACGGTAAATGAACGAACGTTCATGAACATAAATGAACGAACGAGACTCTTGTTCATATTCGTTCGTTTAACTAAATGAACAAAAAAAATTGTTCATGTTCGTTCATTTATTAAATAAACGAACATAAACGAACTTCCCGCCGAATGGTTCACGAACAGCTCGCTGAACGTTCGGTTCGTTTACAGCCCTAAGTATAATACATTAATAAAATAGTATAATGATAAATACATATATTATTTTATTATTAAAAATGTGTTTAGTATTTTTTTAGTGTGTGGTTAAAATTAGATTTTTTTTAGTGTTCAAATGACCCACCATTTTTTATGTTTTTTTAGTGATTGGGTTGGAGATACTCAAACAAACCAACTCTTAGATCATCTTGTGGTATATATATATATATATATATAGATAGATATATAGATATATATATATAGAGAGAGAGAAGGGGTGGGGGTTCAAGGGAACAACCAAAGAACTCGACTTTCAGTTACTCGTATGTACATGTACATATCATATAGATAAAAAGATATCAAAATATGTTTCTCACTTTTTCATTTTTTTTATTTCTCCTTATTCTCACCCTATATATGTGTGTGTGTGTTTTTCTTGTTTAGTTGGATAAAATGTATGCTATGGAATGGAATATCAAGTCTACTGAATATTTGTAGCCTTAATTAAGAAAGTCAAAATCATTTTCCAAATACAAAAGTAATTTACTTTTAATTACTTTTGTCAATAATATTTTATGAAATTCATTGCTTTATAGCATTATTAATAATTTGTTTATAAAACCAAGTAGTTCACAATTACTCAAAAAAAATTGTAAAATAACTAGTCAATGTCATTTAATTTCATATTCCACATGCAAAAAAAAACAGTCTTTATACTTAAAAAATAAAATTAAAATATATTCAATTTTGTATTTTAATAAAGTCCCATCTTGAAATAAGATCAAAACACACCAAATTATAAATGATTTATTTTTATCTTTGTGTTACATAAAAAGTTGGTCCAAATTTACTGTTTTTAGAAAGAAAAAAGTCATTTTCATAAGAATGCATGAGCCCAAGCACACACATGCGCATACATACATATATATATATATATATGATAAACTAAACAGTATAAATTAAACTTATCAGTACTAACTTAAAGAGAGTTGAAGTCAATTTATGTATGGCAATATACAGTTGGATATATATATATATATATATATATATATATGTATATGGTGTATGAAGTACTGATATGCTAGCTAAGAATACAAGGGGCATGTGAATACACATGTCAAAGTCAAAGCTATAGCTACAGGATCAATGTGCTCAAAGTTCAATTTTCTTTGGCTTCTCAATGAACCATCAAAAAGAATTGATCATTTGGTCTCTCCATTAAAGTTTATACTAATTAATGATTTGGTTTTTCTGTTCTACATATAAGGATTAACCATTTAACACTCTGAAATCACTTATTTTAAATGTCACTGATCTGGTTTAATTTATGGAACCCCCCCTCCACACATATATATATATGAAATATACATATGCATTTGCAACCATTAATGATGAGTACAATGAGAATTATTTTGTAAAAAACAGATGCATCTACCTCTTTTACTATGCATATATATACACAAGGAACATTCAATGAAGAAGACAGACATTATATATTTTGATCCTACAGATAAGGTAAGACACAGTACAAATGTATGACAACTTCTAATTCTTCACATGAGCAGATGCATGTTTGGAGGGTTTTGACTGTGACTGTGACAGTGCTTACATGCTGAATAGTATCCAATTGTGTTTGTTTATGTTTTTCAGTCAAACATTTGAACACCACCATCAATTCCTTTTAAATCCCAATACCCTTTTCTTTTATTTCTTTCACCAATCCCAGTACTACTTCCTCGTTACCTTTCTTCCATTAATTTCTTTAACCCATTTTTACACTTTTTTCATAAAAAGATCACATTTTTTGCAAATAAAATGACATTTTTCAATGTTGTGACCTTACAGGTTCGTGTAGCAAATGAACCCATTTTGAGGTGTATGCTTTACTGAACAAATATGAATCCACTTCAATTGTTACAGTCCTTGATTTCAAAAACTACTAGAGGTAGTGTTCGTTTCGGTTTTCTTCTAAGTCATTAAGTTCGTCGTCCATGTATATATTAATTGTTCCTGTCAAGTGCTGTTATGCATATGCCATGTACAACTGGACAAGATTGTCATTCTACTGTTTCCCTAAATCAAAATCTTGACCCTAAAATCTATTTCATTTCACTCTAACCGTAGACCTCCTCTCTTGGCTCCCACTTGCACCCCGTCCTCTAGGTTCAGTCCTTACACGATTGTGGGGTTAAGGTTGAAGACAGTCGATGAAGGGTCAAGAGCACTAAAGGAGTTCGGGTGTGCTTCAGCCTTCATGCCTCAATTATTTCACTTAACCGTAATTCTTTCTTCAACCACGTACACCGGTACTAGAACAATTCA